TCGAGGCAACAGCTGAGTGTGTTGACCACACCATGCAGGGACTCTGTGGGCCACTAACTTAGGGATTCTCTTTACAAATGGTGATTCTAGTTGACCAAAGTTGGTTCTGCATTAAATGATTGTAAATGCATACAGTGCTCATCTTTCCTGTTTCTCTTCCTATGTGTGTGTGTCCCGTCTCATCCCAGAAACACGAGGGAAGGATCACATGGAAAGAACTGCAACGTATTCTAAACAGCAATGCCATACAAATCCACGATTCAGAAGTCAAAGAACTTATGCAAATGTTCGACCCTGGGGGCACCGGGCTGCTCAGCGTCCACGCGTTCCTTGACCTGCTTGAAGAAGAAAACTCAAAGGTCAGTGTCCTAATGCCGTCGAGTTGGGGTTTCGACAAGGGTCAGTCGGAAGGCATTGCCGCCGGGGATTCAATTCTGATGATGTTGGGTACCATGCAGTCCGCTCCAACTCCAGGGACCTCACGGACGACAGAAGGAAGCGCCGCCCGGGGCCTGCGCCAGCCTCACCCCCGTGCTGTGTTTGAGCCCATCGTGCGGCCACCGTGTCAGTCCATCTTGTCACGGGGGTCTTCCTCTTTTTAGCTCCTTGTCTGCCAGGTGGGTGTCCTGCGGCAGCTTGCACGCTGCTAGGATGCTGGAAGCCACGAACTGTCAATCACCGGCAGAACCACCCACCGTGAGCAGGCTGCGGTGGGGCGTCCAGGCCATGACTGGGGACTAGACTGCCCACTTCTGAGCGCGTGGCCCCCTTATGACTAGCCCAGCCGTGCAGCCGTTTACACAGAAGGCATGCAGTTCTTCAGGGAAGGGTCAGAGAGACGGAAACACCGCCTTTGGGAGCGTGTCGACCTAGAAGGAGATGTCCAGAAACAATAGCTTTACGTCGTAGCACTTGTGTTTGATACAGCCTTCTGGTGTGATTGATTGATAGATTGATTGATTGATTGACTTAGCCAGGTATTTTTGGCACAAAACAGGTGTTCTCGGCAAGTGAAATGTGGTTTACATCAAGGCGTGACCGTCCATTTGAGGAAGAGCTAAGGGTTGTTCCATCTAACGTCCCTCTCCTAAATCTTGCTGACGGGTGACACAGACATTTCTGAAAACTTCCCCTGGGCACCGGAAGGTTCACCTACCTCTGTGTCCAGGATGTACCTTCCCTTCCCAACACCTGGCACCCCGGTCTCCAGCACGGGTCTGGGGACCTCGGCACGTTGGGTCCCACTCACCGCGAGTTGATTGTGACTGACGGAGACCCTGGAGACAAAGGCGCACAACTCTGCCCAGCCCTGCCTTCCGGCTCCCCCAGACAAGCAAACTCGCTGACCCTGAGTTGACGCCAACTCATGGCGACCCGAGAGGACGATTCTTTACCGGAGCAGACAGCCTCAGTTTACTCCCACAAAGCCACTGGTGAGTTTGAACTGTCCACCTAGAGGATAACAGCCCAATGCCCAGCCCACAACACCACCAACTCTGAACAGAACCCAAACTCAGTGCCATCGAGTCCGCTGTTAGGTGCCCTCGAGTCCGCTGTTAGGTGCCCTCGAGTCCGCGCCAACTTACAGCGACCTGATGTATTGTGCCCTGGTGGTGTAGGGCTCCTTGATGGGCAGTTGGAAATCCACATGGTCGCCAGTTCAAAACCACCAGCAGCTCTGAGGGAGAAAGACTGGACTTTCAACTCTCATAAGCAGTTACGGTCTCGGAAACCCACAGGGGGTCACGATGGGTCAGCATGGACTCGATGGCAGTGATGCACAACAGAGCAAAACACTGCCTGGCCCTGCGCCATCCTCACAATTGTTCTTATGTCAGAGCCATTGTTGCAGCCACTGTGTCCGCCCACCTCGTTGACGGCCTCCTTTTTAGCTGCCCCTCCATTTTAGCAAGAATGATGTCCTTCTCCAGGGACTGGTCTCTCCTGACATCATGTACAAACTATGTGAGTTAAGTCTCACCAGCCTGGACTCTAAGGAATACTCTGGCTGTCCTTCTTGCAAAACAAATTTCTTTTTCTTTGGGAAGTCCTCCAATATTCTTCTCCAGCACCATTATTCAAATGTATTCTTCCTTACTCAATGTCCAACTTTCACACGCACATGAGGCAACTGAAAATACCAGGCCTTGGGTCCGTATACCTTAGTCCTCAGAGTAACATTCTTGCTTTTCAACACAGGAGCCTTGGTGGCATAGAGGTAGGTTGTTGGGCTGCTAACCTCAAGGTCGGCAGTTCGAAGCTGCCACTCAGAGGGAGGAAAAACAAAAGAGCTTTTCTACTCCCCTAAAAAGTATAGTTCTGGAGACCCACAGAAGTTCTACAATTTAAAAAAATCATTTTATTGGGGGCTCTTACAGCTCTTACACCATTCCATACATAAATTATATCAATTGTACATATGTTGCCATCATAATTTCCAAAGCATTTTCTACTTAAGCCCTTGGTGTAGCAGTTACATAATCTCTT